GGCCTCCAGCGTCATCACCTGCCGATCGGCGACGACATGCATCACCGGCCGGGTTCGGGCATTGATCCGGCCATAGGCGGAGATCAGGTCGTAGAGTTCGGCCTGCCATTCTTTGCACCGCACCGCCTTCCGGCGCGCGCCCGCGCGAAGACATCGCGCCCCAATCGGTCGCGCGCCATCAGCCGTGCGCCCGCCTCGCGCATTGCCGCCAGTCGTTCGAGCCGGAGTTGCAACCGCAGCGCCAATTCTTCCGGATCAGGCTCCTCCCGGGCTGGCGGGGAGCAGCGCGATTTAAGATAGGCCAGCCACGCCGCCATGACGAGATAATCGGCCGCCAGCTCCAACTGCATCCGCCCCGCCCGGTCGACGAAGCGCAGATATTGCTCGACCAGCGCGAGGATCGAAATCTGGCGCAGATCAACCTTTTTGCGAACGGGCCAGCGACAGCAACAGGTCGAGCGGACCTTCCCACCCGTCCAGATCGAGCGTCAGCTGTTCCCCCGTCATCGTGCGGTCACCTTATCCCGCCGCGCCCCGGTTGGCGAGGGCCCTATGATCGGGTCGCCATCAAAATAAAAATCGGTTATCATTCATAGATCAGGACTCGGGAGAGGATGGATGTTCATTCGTTACGGAATGTTGCTGATCGCGGCGGCAAGTCTTCCAGCCCAAGCAAAGCCTTCCCGCACGGAGACATGGGGCAAGCCTCAAGTGTCGTTCGAACAATATCGACGCGATGCCGTCGAATGCGCGACGATCGGTTATTTCCGCGACGTCTCGCAGGACGAACCCGCCAAAAAATTCATTCGCGGTTTCCAGACTTATGACAATGGCCTCAACATGCCGGTGTGGAACGGTGCTGGAGGACCGCCCATGGCGATGACCAGCACGCGCGATCCCGTGCTGATGATGAATCCCGATCAGCGATTGAAGGAGGTTCAGGCCGTTCAAGTCGGCGATGTCGAACGCTGCCTGACCGAGCGGGGCTATGCCAAATTCACGCTGACCGACAGGCAGGATCGCGAACTCAAACGCTATCCCAAAGGTAGCGATGCACGGCGGCAATTCCTGTATCGGCTGGCGTCGGCGGCTCGCTGATCGACAGGGTGATCATTCCCCACCCGTGGAGATCGTCCCAAAATTTTTCACACCATCCCGGAAGGAGATCGTTAGGGAAGCGTCGGTACGTCATTCCAATGGTGCTGTAACGCTGACCCGGCCTTCGCCGGGGGTGGAACGTGAGGAAGATGGGCTTGCCACGATCCCCCACACAGGCAAGCAGGCCGGGCTGCCCGACAGGTCTTTTCAACCGGCCAAGGACAATAGGGCATCCCGCCGCGCGATCAGCTCGGCAAAGTCCCCTCGCCCGGCCCCACACTCGCCATGGCCCGATCGAGCCGAGTACGCGCCGCCTCAGGATCGACGGCATGGCCGGCGATCTCGACCATCTCGTCCATCGGCCCAGCAATCGAGGACCAGGTCGCACCCCGCCGCCAGCGCCCCCGCCGCCTTTTCGCCGGCGGTGCCGCTCAGCGCCTTCATGTCGATATCGTCGGTCATCAACAGCCCGTCGAACCCGATACGCTGGCGGATGATCCGTCGATGACGTCGAGACAGCGTCGCGGGCGATCGGCATCCCGGCCCTCGAACACGATATGGCTGGTCATGCCCCATCGGTGCGGCAGCCAGCGTGCGGAAGGGTTCGAGGTCGACCGCCAGCTCCGCCTCGCTCGCGGTGACGGTGGGCAACAGGTGATGCGAGTCGACCAGCGCGCGCCCATGCCCCGGCATATGTTTGACCACGCCGACGATGCCGGCCGCCGCCAGCCCCTCCAGCATCGCCCGGCCGAGCGCCGCGACCTGCATCGGCTCGGCGCCATAGGCCCGGCTGGCGATCGCCTGGTGGTGCCGGCTTGCGCGACGTCGAGCAGCGGTGCGCAGTCGACGGTGATGCCCACTTCGCGCAGCATCAGGCCCAGCGCCCCGCCATTGGCACGCATCGCCTGGATCGCCGACATCGGCGCGATGTCATAGAGTTTGGCGAAGGCCGGACCAGCGGGAAAGGCCAGCCATTCGGGCGGACCCATCCGCGCGACGCGGCCGCCTCCCGGTCGATCAGGATCGCCAGATCGTCCTGCCCCGCCAACGCCCGCAGATCGTCGGTAAGCGCACGGACCTGCGCGCGATCGACGATATTACGCTTGAACAGAATATAGCCCGCCGGTCGACCGAGGCGAACAACGCCCGCTCATCGGGGTCAGCACCGGGCCGACAGGCCGAAAATCACGGGGATCATGATACTCCAGCCCCCGACCCTAAATGGGCGGGGGCAGGCGATCGATCAACTGGCGACGAAGCAGCTTTTCGCCGGCGACGCGCAGGCGGCCACAGATATCGGCGGCCCGTTGGCGCCGCCAGCGTTCACGCGCAGACGATACAGCGTCTTGCCGTTCGCGGCGACTGGCTGCACGACCTTGCCCAGCGCCGCGACATAGGAGAAGCGCTTCGAGAAGCGGTCCTGTGCGGCATTGGCCGAAGCCTCGCTGGGATAGGCGCCGAGCTGCACCATCGAGCCGCTGCCCGACGACGTGGTCGGAGCCGGCCGCGCGGCGGTGACCGGTGCCGGCGCGACGAGCTTGCCGCCCGGTGGGTACCTGCGCCACGGCGTTGCGACCGCCATTGGGCTCGCTCGGCTTCTGCACGACGCGGGTGCCATTCATCGGCGCCTCAGGGACCCCGCGCAGGTCGATCGCCCCGGTGCCACCGGCCTTGCCCCGCGCTGGTGGCGATCGCGGTATCGCCCTCGCCCTGACCTTCAGGCCGCCGGGATCGGACGGACGAACCTTATAATCCCCCCTCGGGCGCGGCGATCAGCGCACCGTCGCCGTCACTGGCGGCCCGATGCGCCTGCCATTTGTAGAAGCCGAAGCCGATCGCAGCCGGGATGGCGAGCCCGATGATGACCAGCGCCACGACCTTGCCGATGCCGACGCCCTCGGGCTCGTCGGGCTCGACCGTCTCCAACCAGGGAGCCGATCCTCCTCCGGCCGGTCATATCCGCGCAGATCCATCTCTTCCGCCATCACTTCATCTCCGACACAGCCTCAACGCCCATTAGCGCCAGACCGTTACGAATGACTTGCCCGATCCCCTCGCTGAGGAAAAGACGCGCGCGCGTCACGGCGGCGTCCTCCGCGATCAGGAAGCGGCGATCGGGGCGATCATTGCCGACATTCGGCCGCGTGGAAGGCCGCCGCCAGATCATAGAGATAGAATGCGATACGATGCGGCTCCCGCGCGACCGCCGCCGTCTCGACGATGCGCGGGAATTGCGCGGCCAGCTTCACCAGCGCGATATCCTCGGCATCGAGCAGCGACAGATCGGCATCGCCCCTTCGATGCCCGCCTCGGCCGCGCGGCGCTTGAGCGAGGCGATGCGGGCATGGGCGTATTGCAACGTAGAAGACCGGATTGTCCTTCGATGCCTCGACCACCTTGGCGAAGTCGAAACCATCTGCGCGTCCGACCGCCGGGTCAGCATGGTGAAGCGCACCACGTCCTGCCGACTTCGCGTACCACATCGGCCAGCGTCACGAAATTGCCCGCGCGCTTGGACATCTTCACCGGCTCGCCGCCGCGCAGCAGGCGGACCATCTGGACGAGCTTCACGTCGAACTTGGTCTTGCCGCCGGTCAGCGCCTCAACCGCCGCGACGATCCGCTTGACGGTGCCCCATGGTCGGCACCCAGATGTCGATCAGCTGATCGGCGGTCTGCGCCTTCTGATAGTGATAGGCGAGGTCGGCGCCGAAATAGGTCCAGGCGCCATTCGACTTGTGATCGGGCGATCCTGATCGTCGCCGAACTGGCTGGAGCGGAACAGCGGCAGCTCGACCGGCTCCCAATCCTCGGGCGTCTTCGCCCTTGGGCGCTTCCAGCACGCCGTCATAGACCAGACCGCGCGAACGGGTTCCGCCTCGGCCGCCTCGGGCTTGCCTGCCGCCTGCAACTCGGCTTCCGAGGAAAACAGGTCGTGATGAATGCCGAGCAGCGCGAGGTCTTCGCGGATCATCGCCATCATCGCCGCGACCGCACGGGTGCGGAACAGGACCAGCCATTCGCGCTCGGGCGCGTCGACATAAGCGTTACCGAACTCGGCAGCGAGCGCCTCGCCCACCGGCTTCAGATATTCGCCCGGACAGGCCTTCCGGGATCTCGATCGTCTCGCCGAGCGCCTCGCGGTAGCGGGTGTGCCGAGCGGGCGAGGACATCCACCGCCGCCGGCATCATTGACATAATATTCGCGGATGACCTTGTGGCCCGCAAACTCAAGAGCGTGGCGAGCGCGTCGCCCACCACGGCGCCCCGGCAATGGCCCATATGCATCGGCCCCGTCGGATTGGCTGAGACATATTCGATATTGACCGTCACGCCCCCCGCGCGCCGAACGGCCGTAATCACCGCCCGCCTGCGGGATCGCGGCCAGTTCGTCGCGCCATGCCGCCTGGTCAGCCGCATGTTCAGGAAGCCCGGCCCGCGACCGAGACGCTCTCCACCTCGTCCAGCTTGCCCAGCTTCGACCGCGATCGCGCCTCCGCCAGTGCGCGCGGATTGGTGCCCGCAGGCTTGGCCAGCACCATCGCGGCGTTGGTGGCGAGGTCGCCGTGGCTCGCATCACGCGGCGGCTCGACCGTGACGTTGCGGCGATCCAGCCTGCCGGGCAACGTGCCGGCGGCAACCAGCGTGTCCAGCGCCGCATCGATATGCGCGGCAAAGCGGTGTAAAGCGTCATCACATCGTCCGATCGGGGTAGCAAAGCGTTGCGCTCTAGCGAAATCGGACGCCCGCTTCAAATCATGGCGTACGCCCCGCCGGAACGATTGCAGCAAGTGCAATCACGCGGAATGCCTTTGATTTACCGCCCATGCTGCGCTGCAATATTCGGTATACGAAGTTAAAGCGCGGAAAACGCGCGAGAGGACCTGATCCGGCTCAACGCACATGCGGGGAGTGTCGATCATGCGCAAGACCATTCTGATCTCCGGCCGCGGCCGTTGCCGCCATTCCGACCATCGGCGCCGTGGCGGCCGAAGGCGAGCAGCGTTTCGTTCACGAAGGCCAGACCTATGTCTACACTCGCTCGGTCGAGAGCGGCCATCCGGTAATCGAGGGCCACCGCTATCCCGGCGGCGAGCCGTTCCGCTTCATCGTGCGCGGCCACCGTGTGACCGGCTATACCGGCACCACACCGGTATCGTTCAGCACCGACGAAGCCAAGGGCGCGCTGGGCGCGGGCATCGAGACCAGCGCTCGCTGATCCCCCCCTTGTTTGCAAAGGATTGGCCCATCCCAATTTGGGGTGGGCCAATCCGTGCGGCTTTCGCCGAGCCGGTTCACCAGCGTGGTTTGACCGCACTCCATTCCAAGAAGGCCGGGTCAGGTGCTGACGATACATAGGCCATCAGGATTTCCCGCGCCTCTTCGAACGTGAATACGTCGTGCTTTAGCGCCCGTTGAATCGTTTCGGTGTCCTTATGCACGGCGTATAAGCGACCATGCTCAGGGGCTTCGGCTTTTCCGATAGCATAGTCGCCATCGAAAGACGATATAAAGATAGCCACTGGTCTTGGTCTCAACTTTGAGCGAGCTCTGGGGCAACGCCGATCAACAGATCGTGAAGCAGATCGGACGTCACGGCGCGGTTTAGCTTTTCATCGCCTACAGACAAGACGAGACCCGGCATGACCGTCACCGCGTGATTTCGCTCGAAGCGATTGCCCCGATCCACCTACAGCATCGCTCAAATAGCGCACGAGCGGGTCCGCCTGACGGCGGTCACGATGGGCCATCCACCATAAAAAAGGCACACCGCCAAACACGATCGCAGCAAGCAGCAGCGGATCGCCAAAACCCGTATCTTCTTTGCGGATCGCCCCAGCAGAGCGGAGATGCCCATAAACGCCCACAGTGTTATAAAGGCGATGCCATTAAGGTCGGAACCAGCCCGGCCGCGCAGCCGCGTTTGATCGCCTTCCTGCGAGATGATGCCGAACACCATCGGCCCAGATCGATTGACCATCGAGAACCAAAGGCAAAACAGAGGCCCCACCACCCAACCCCGCGCGCCGTTCCGGGGTTCGAATAACGGCTTCAGGCCGGCCCTGATACGCCCTTGAGGTCTCCGCCATAGAATAGGGGTGCCAATAGATCGACGCGATAGCCAAACGGCTCGAACGGCATAATTCATTGCCCTTATCCGTGGCTTGCCACGATTTGCCATATTCGGCCACCGGCGCTTCAGAAGACCCAACAGGTCAATAGCTTTTTACAACTGCAGCCATCAAAACCCTTCGGGCAGATCGATCGCTCCTACTACGTCCGGGTAACACCGCACCGCATAGCGATCGGTCATCCCGGCGATGAAGTCCGCGATATGGCGGCTGCGCTCGGGCTCGGCCTCGGGCAGGCGTTCGCGCCATTCCTCGGGCAGTTGCGCAGGGTCGGCGCGGTATGCCGCGAACAGGCCCTTCACGATGCCATGCGCCGCATCCGCCGCCGCCAGCTGGCGCGGGTGGTGGTAGAGATTGGCGTACATGAAGCGCTTCAGATCGCGCTCCTCGACCCGCATGGCTTCCGAAAAAGCCGACCAGCAGCGCGCGGCCGGCGGCACGCACATCAGTGACGTCGCCCACCCCGCTTTCAGTGATCCGGGCGCGGGTCTCGGCGACGAGGTCGTTGACCATCACGCCGATCTGCGAGCGGATCAGCTCGCTCGCCAGCCTTTTGGGCGCGACATCGGAAACTTGGCGCGCCGTGTCCCAGCCGCGCGCGACCAGCGGCACCGCAAGCAACTGGTCGAGCGTCAACAGCCCGGCGCGCAGGCCATCGTCGATATCGTGATTGTCGCAGGCGATGTCGTCGGCCAGCGCGGCCACCTGCGCCTCCAACGAGGCATGGCTATCCAGATCGAGCGGAAAACCCGCATCGGCCTCACGTAGCGCCCAGCCAGGATGGCGGACCGGCCCGTTATGCTTGGCCAGCCCCTCCAGCGTCTCCTGGGTCAGGTTCAGCCCATCCCAGCGCGGATAAGGCCGCTCGATCTCGGTCAGCGTACGCAGTGTGTGGCCGTTATGGTCGAACCCGCCCTGCTCGTCGAGCGCAGCCTTCAGCGCATCCTCGCCCGCATGGCCGAAAGGCGGATGGCCGATGTCGTGCGCCGGGCACAGCGCCTCGGTCAGGTCTCGTTCAGCCCCAGCGTCCGCGCGATCGTGCGGGCCGATCTGCGCGACCTCCGGCTATGGGTCAGGCGGACGCGGAAATGGTCGCCATCGGGGCCATGAAGACCGGGTCTTGTGGCGCAGCCGGCGAAAGCTGATCGAATGGATGATGCGGTCGCGATCGCGCTGAAACGCGTCGCGCGGGCCCCGCTCGAGGCCCTTGGTCTCGTCATGGCGGCGGCCCGGCTTTCGTCGGGAAGGATGCCCGGGCAAAAGGGTCATCTGCTTATTTCGCGTCGAGCCGCGTGACCGCCTGCCCGCCTCGCTGTTGACCGGGAAGGCCGAAACACCCTTCTTGGCCAGCTTGTTGACAAAGGCGCGCGCTTCCTCATCGGTCTTGAAGGGACCGGTCAGCACGCAGTGGGTGGCGCGCAACGGCGTCTTGTACCCCTGATGACCGGCGAACAGCTCGGGCGCCTTTTGGCCGGCGGTCCACGCCTTGGGCAGATCCGACTCGTTCGCGCCGCCCGCGACGGACCCAGATGCGCGCGGGATTGGCGCGGGCCTTGCGCTTCTCTTCGGCGGCTTCCTTGTCGGCAAAGCCTTTTTCTCGGCCTCCGCCTTCTTCGCAGCAAGGGCCTTCTTGTCGGCGGCGGCCTTGGCGAGCTTCGCCTTGCGTTCGGCGGCGATTTCCTTGGGATCGCGCGCCGGCGGCTCGACCACTTCGGCGGCCTTTTCACGTGCCGCCTCGTCGCGCTCGGCCTTGGCCCGCGCCTCGGCCAGCACACGCTGCGAGGTAGTGCTCACCGGCGTGGCGGCGGCGACCACGGTCGGGCGCTCGGGCCCCTCGACGCCCAGTTCGGAGGCGGGGATCGACAGATTGGCGACGATCCGGGCCACACCAGATCCTCCCGCACCGCGCGCGGCCGCCAACGAAGGGCGACGCGCCGTCGAGACCGGCGGCTTGGGCGTCGGTGTTGGTTCTTCGGTTCGCGGGGCAGCGGCTGGATCATTGCGGTCGCGACGGGGCGGGTGTCGGCGTGACCGGCGCCACTTGAACGGGCAGGTTGGCGTGGTCGGCGAAGCGGGCGCAGCCTGCGCAACTGGGCCGGCGGCGTGGCGGACGGCAGCGGCTGAACTTGCGCCACCTGCGCTGGCGGGTTCGCGGCCGGAAGTGGCTGGATCATCGGCCGGGCAGGCTCGGCGGACGCGACGGCGGTCGCCGGCGCCGATGAGGTGGCCGTCGGCAGGGACGAGGTGAAGCCGGGCAGTGGCTGCACCATCTGCATCGGGGCGGCGGCCGGGGTAGCCGTTGTTCGGTTGCCGGACGGACCGGATTGGCCGAGGCCATCTGCACCGGCGCGGGGGTTTCGGTGCGTACGGGTGCGGTACGGGCCGGGCCTGAACGGCTGCAGCGAGGGCCGTGCCACGATTGTTGCGGTTCGCGTTGCGGCCGTTGCGCTGGGTGTCACCGCGTGACGCGACAGGCGCCGCCACCGGGGTGGACGACGCCAGCGCGACCGGCGCGGTCGGGGCCGTGGCCGGCAACACCGGTGCCAGTCGCGCATCCGCCAGACGCTCGGGCGTGGCACGCGTCTCACCGAAATGCACCGCAAAGGCGCGATCGACGGCGGGCAAGGTCGGCAGTCGCTGGAAGAAAGGTTGCAGCCCCTGCGCCAGTTGCGGCGGCATCATCGTGCTGGCGATCCGTGTCGCTTCGGGCAGATCGCCGCCCATCGCCAGAATGAAGGCGCGCGCGCCAAAGCCGCCTGATCGGCCTTGCGCAGCAGGGGGTCTAGCTGTTCGAGCGCCTGTTCGCGCTGCCCCGAAATACCGAGCGACAGGGCATAGCGACGGATGAGCTCGTCGCTCGGATCCTGGCCAAGGCCAGCCGGTAATCGCGCTGCGCCCAGGGCTGGTCGCCGACCAGATCATAGGCGCGCCCCGATCCGCCGCGAACTGTGCCGCTGGCAGTCCCGCTGCCTCGGCCTGCGCGAAGTAACGCAGGGCCTCGCCGGGCCGTTCGAGCGGACCGGGATCGACGCCATCCCCGCCTTTGATCCGCGGATCGCGGACATCGACCTTTCGGCGCGGGCGAGCAGCGAGGCCGCACCCGACAGATCGTCGAGATGGATCGACAGTTGCGCGGCTTCGATCAGGGCGTTCACGTCGCGCGGGTTCTGCGCCACGCGCCGCATCACATCCCCGTGCGATCGGCATCGGTTGTGCCGGGAAGCGGCTGAACCACCTCTGGGCCAGAAGCGGGGACGGAGCGGTCGCCAGCATCAGGGCGAGCGCCAGCGAAGCGCGGGAAAGGAAAGTCGGCGTCATGGGACTATGTCCCATAAAGCGCGTTTCGCGCCACCGGGCAATGGGCATCGCACACCGGCGCGCCCGGTCGCTCTGAACGGTCGACCAACAGGTGTGGCATCATGGCCGGCGCGGGATGGCAGCCCGTCGTCACAAACTGCCGGCCACTCGTCTTCAATAGCCTTCATTCTGGTCGGAATAGCGGGGTCGGTTCGGTCCAGTGGCGCTTCTTGATCGCACGACGTTTGAAGACGAACCAGATCCACCCGCTTCCAGCAGAAACCCGGCCAGCCCAGCGAGGTCCGCCAGCGTCGATGGCCGATCGACCAAAAACAGGAGCGTGACAAAGGGTAACAGAGCCCAAGCAGCCAAGGACCGCAACCGTCGACCAGAATCGATGATCGTCCACGCTGATCTGCGAGTCGACAAAATCGACAAATTCCCGCCAGAGCGAAGCCATCAGGCAGAGTAGCGGTCGATAGTGACGGCAGGCAAGCGGGACAGCCCAAGCTTTCCCAAGGTCGCTCGATATTCGTCGGATTGCCCTTGGAGGCTTATTCCCTGCAGGGACCACTCGAGGCGCGATGCAGGGAGGATCACTAAAAGCCGATTTTGACCAGCAGCGCCCCCCCTTTCCGGAAGGAAAGGTTGAATCTCGATTTACCGCCAAAATCAAAAAAGGCCCACCTGGATCGCTCGGGCAGGCCCTTTTAGACATTCCCGCCAGCGGCGCTGACGGACCAGATTACTGGTTGTTCTGGCGGTGCAGGAAACGCGGGATGTCGAGCGACGAGTCGCTGGTACCCTGCGCATTATCGTCGCGCTGCGCACCGCGCGCCGCATTCGACATACGCTCGAACAACGTACCGCCCAGCTTCACGCGCGGGGCCGGCTGAGCCAGGACATCGCCGGCTTCACTGCCTGGGGCCAGCCAGCGGCGGCGCGCCTCTTCCGAACCGGGGGGCCGGTTCGGCGGGAGCGCAGGTGCCGAAGCTCACAGGGCTGGGGCGGCGCGTTGGGGACGATCGTGTCGGCACCCAGAACCAGCTCATCCTCCCGGGCCGGCTGCGGCGCGGCGGGGCCGCCACCGGGGCCGGCGGCGTCGACCGAAGCGGCGGGGTCACGCTCGGCGACGGCGCGGCTGGCTGTGGAGCGATGCGGGGGCCGGCGTCGGAGCAGCGGCCTGCGTCGCGGGCGCCGCTGGTTCGCTCGGGCGATAGCTCGGCGTATCGTCGGTCTTGCGCGCCATGCCGCCCATGCTGAAGCTGCTGCGCTGCGCCTCGACCGGCGCGGCGGCACCCGGCTTCACATCGGCGTCGATGCCGGTGGCGACCACCGACACGCGGATGCGGCCTTCGAGTTCAGGATTGAACGCCGAACCCCAGATGATGTTGGCTTCGGGATCGACCAGCTCGCGAATGTGATTCGCCGCCCGTCCACCTCGAGCAGGCGCATATCGTCGCCGCCCGTGATCGAGATGATGACGCCTTTGGCCCCCTGCATCGACACACCGTCGAGCAGCGGGTTAGCGATGGCCTTCTGCGCCGCCTCGATCGCGCGATTGTCGCCGGTGGCTTCACCGGTGCCCATCATCGCCTTGCCCATCTCCTGCATCACC